TTTTTTTTTTTTTTTTTTTTTTTTTTCCCTTCTTCTTCTTTCGGTCCGGACATTTTTGTGTCTGCTGTACCGGTCCGGACGGTCCGGGTCCGGTGCCTGTCCGGATTACGGGACGTCTGGACCAGTCCAGACAAATGTCTGGGCCTCAGTCCAGACATGTCCGGGGTCCGGGTCCGCGGTTGCCACGGTTAATAATGTTATGTAAAATAATAAAACAAACAACGTTTTTTTTTTTTTTTTTTTTTTTTTTTACTGAACTTCTTTCATTGAAACCGGGAAACGGGCCCGGCGTCACTCACATGGATGGTGCAGTCACCCGAGGCTGAGAAAGGCTCTTCCGGCCAACCCATCCCCAACTACAGTCATCCAGGTACCGAGACCCCACCCCCCAGTACTACCAACTCCACAGTCTCATCCTACCAATCTCAACTATGACCTTCACCTTCTATCTCGTATCATTCTAGCAAACTGTATTGTACAGTCATCCTTCCAAAACCTATCGTAAAAAACTGTTACAAAAAGAAATCAGAAAAGGTGAGGGTGGGAGAAACCCCCACCATCTGAGCAATCACACACATCCCATCAAAGTCTCCCCATCTTGTTTGAAACCATTTGAGCGCTTTTGCGGTAAATCCTTTCTTCTGAACACGGTATTCCCAATCAGCCGAAATTGCCACTTTGATATTGTATTTGATCTCCGCTCTGATCATCGGGGGGGTGAGCTGTTCCCCCCTACGAACAGCCGAGTTTCGTAGGTTCCAAAGGGTCGTAAGAATGGCTCCACGGAGTGTTTCTTCTGCATGCAATCGAGAAAGCAAGGGTTGCCGTCGTCTGGAGGCTGTCCCCAAGAGCACAAATTGGTCGCCCCATTGTGTCTGCACATCTGGTACCGGAACACCAGAGTGGCGTCACCAGTCCCAGAAAGGCCTGGCAAGGTCACACTGCAGCAGAAAATGCTGCACATCCTCAACCCGCGTCCCCGGGCATATAGTGCATAACGAGTCAGCTTTCACAGTCCGTTTTGAGCACCAGGCGGCCACTGGCAATGCCAGGTGCATCAACAACCATAAAAAACTAGCATGTTTACAGACGGTAAGATCCATAAGCTGCTTCCAAAAGGTCGGGAGCATTCGCGATAATCTTGGCAAGGAATCTGAAACCCATCTGGTCGCCATCCACCTCCGGGCCACCACCCAGTTTACATCAGTTCTCGGTCTCACCAACTGATAACCCAATTTTACAGTATAATCGTATAGATAAATCAGTTTGTCCATACGGTCAGGATCTTTCCATGCCCAATCTCTAGGATCCATTGGCAAATGAAAAGATGGAATCTGTAAACAAAAAGGGCGATAGTTGTACTCCTGTTCAACAACACACACAGGCTGCAGCTGTCCCAGAGGGGGCACGGGAATTGCAATCTGCGCAACCTGTAATGGTTCTCCCAACGACTCCGCCTTACCCTGGACTTCCCAACACGAGTAGGCAATATCAGCCGCGTCAGAATAAGTCTCTTTTCTCCAAACATGTCTTGGCATGACGTGTCCAACATGTTTGTACCAAGCCCCGTCTGTCACCTCCCAACCTCTATGCAGAATGTCAACCCAAGCCTGGGGTACAGCGTCTTGCAAAAGTTGAAGATGCTGTTGTTGTCTCCAGAGGCCAGTCAACTTTGGTGATAACAGGTCAAAGGTTTTCCAATCCGCGGCGACAATATCCCATAAATCAGCAAGAGTACCCACCCCTCTACCCATCCATGCATTCCCAAACTCTCCCGGTCCAAAACATGCAAACGGCTGTCCGTCAGTAGTCAAGATAAAGGGGTTATTAAACAGCGGTTGGGTTAACAAGCGTTCAAACACCATCAGGGGAGGTTGTAACTGTGGGCAAACAGCTTTCCAGGCTCTCAAAATTCCGGCCCACACTCCCATCGGCAACTGTTTCCTAAGATATTCTGGGAACAAAAAAGTTAACCAAAAACAGCGCAAATCTGACCAATCTCTAACAGAAAAAAGCGCAAACTCAGTCAACTGTCTCCAGGGAGTATGTAGTGATTCAAAGATCGCCTATGGGACCCATCTCGCCAATAGAGCTGCAATCATCTCGCCAATAGAGCTGCAATTATCTGGATCCAAAATGGAAAGGCCACCGGCACGCTTCGGTTGTATAACCGTTTGCCAGGCAACTTTTGGCAGATAGTTGTCATCATTGATCTCTTCTTTCCACAGATAATGTGTCACCAGACATTTGACCATCTGAAGGGAAGGGAGATCCAATTGGAAAAGAGAACGTCTATACCACAATGTTGACAGGGCCGCATTGTTAATTACAATCGCCCTCCCAAACAAACTAGTTCCTTTACGTGCAGTCCACGGCTGAAGCGCCGCCCGCAAACGAACAAGCGAGTGAGCCGAATCGTGCATCTGTTGTGGGTCAAAGGACACACACAGTGTCCTAACAAACGATCATTTTCTGACGGTATCACCACCCGAAGACCCCAATGGTAGGGAGGTTGTGATCCAGGTGGTATCAAAATGGAGGATTTGGACCAATTGACTGCTGCTTGTGATAAATGACAAAAGAGCTGGATTGTTTCTCTCAAGGCAGCAAACGCATCGTCCAGCAGCGGTGTAAACACAACGGAATCATCCGCAAAAGATTCAGATTTCAGTATGGCCCCCGAGGGAAGCGTCACCCCCGGGA